AAATAAATCCAATTTTAAAAGTGTCGTGATGAGTGGATGTAATTCCTTGAAATTAATATTAAAGACAAGTGAGCATTTAATCTTATTATACACACACACACACACACAATATGATATATAAGATAATATATTGTAAAAGGAGGCTGTAAGCAACCGCTCTTAAAACGTGCAATCAAAAAAAGCACTCAGTACAAATTTCCCAAAAATTTGATTTGTAGAGCAAAATGTAATCAAAACACCAGATCGTTAGGTCTCCTTCCTGAGGAAGCCTAATAGTCGAAACCTAGGTAGCGGTAGTAGTTTTGATGTTTTGATATATATATATATATATATATATATATATAAGAATTCAGTAAACTATAAATAATCAGAAACAGTTATTTACTAAAGTTTTTATACAAGTCGTTTTCTATAACAATAAAATTATTTAATACACATAAGCATTTCTTTTATGTAACGTGTTTTAAAATAGATATGATATCTGTTAATAATTTCATCTTGCCCATGAAGTATTGAGTTAGTTAATTTTTATTCATTTATTTACTAAAGTAAATGTGTGGGGGTGTGAGAGAGAAAGATATAATACACCATTTGTAATTGTATTTTTATCATTAACTGTTTACTGTAATAGAGTTATCTTCCTTGTACTGGTAAACCAGTTGGTACAATCTTTGTTATGACAGTGACGAACTGTTCGGACATGTTTACGAAGTCGAGGTTGAAAACATCGACCCCCGTGAATAATCAAATTCCAAAAATCAAAGTATTTATTTAAAAAAAAAAAAACAATTTAACTCTATCCGACATCGTTTTCATTATCGGAATCAATCTTGGAACTCTTTTTTGAGGATAGCGACCAGCTGCCTCGACACATTCTCTTGGATTTCCTGGATGTCTTGAAATCCTGTTCATTTCAAGTGGAATTTGATTTTTGAAGAAGAAAAAGGGTTGATATCTTAGGGATATGGTGGTTGACGGACCTGAAGAACGTTGTAATCGGCCAAAAACAGCTGCACGAGTGGTGCGCTAAGACGGCCACACTCTGCACACTTTCATTCAAAACACTGCTATAAATAACGGAAGTGGGCGAGAATGTTATAACTTAATGTGCATGCGCGACAAATTTCAAGGTCAATCTATACCAAGCCGCTTCTCTCTGCGAACTTTAGCTTCGTTACCATAGCAACAGCCCCGATACTTTTTGATCACACCTCGTACACATAAAATCAGAAAAAAGACAGTTGAAATTTCTAGAGCACATAACGAGGAAAGAGGGCTTGGAAAATTTGACGCTCACAGGACATATTGAATGCAAGAGAGACAGAAGAGAGCAGCACATAACGCATACCGAATGAGTTTGTATAAATGGTTGGCAGAACAGGGATTAGGAGAGATAACAAAAAATGAACTTTACTGGGAGCGACAAAGCACGGAAGGGTGTAGAGAACATGATCGCCAAGTTCTGAAGTGGCCACGGAACTTCTTTTCTTTTCTTTTTTTTTTTCTTTTTTTTTTTTTTTTAGCGTTTCACCCCAAGCAAGGCGGGAAGCCACTAGCACGCAAGTGGTTACAGAGTTGGGGCGAGAGCAAAGAGGAGTGATAGAAGAAAGGATGAAGAGAAGGATAGGGGATAGATCAGATCATCTGGAGACGTCGATTGACATTACATTTGAATAATTGGAGATTATTGCTATCAGGGAAACAGGAAAAGTGGAGGGAGTTCCACAGGCGAGAGGTCCAAGACATGAAGCTATTGGAGTAGAAGAGACGGCTACATTTAACAGTTTCGACAGTGAAAGGTTGTGAGCGAGATGCCAGCCTAGTAGAACGCTTAAATTCATGAAGTCTGGGAACCAGCGAAAGCAGCTCATCGGAGCAGTTACCATGAAAATATTTGTAAAAAAAACAGAGTGAGGCGACGGAACGTCTGTGAGAGGGCGACTGCAGGCGAGATGCCAGATCAGGGCCAGTTACATTGCATATCCATCTCTGGATTTTATCAAGAACCTTGAGACCAACAGAAGAGGCTCCAGACCATATATGGCAGCAATACTCCATGCAAAGGCGAATGGTTGATTTGTAAGTTTGAAAGATCGACTCCGGCGAGAAAAATTTCCTTGGCGCGACACAGGGAGCCAAATTTCCTTGCGGTGGACGAAGCTATAGAAGATTCTTCACTATCAAATTCTGGCTTCCTTCCTAGAAAAAATGCTCAACCTCTCGTTACCTAATTGTGACATGTCCACAAAAGATGAGAAAATATAGTTTTTCGTTTTTCATATTTCTTTATAACCCTTAGTTTCCTGTTTCCCTCGAATGAAATCAATAACGTTTGATTTTTCAAAGATGTTTTTACTTTCTCGTCGATTAGGGAAAATGATATTTCTTCATTAACCTGCAAGGTTTTCCTGCAATTATTGTTTGAAGAACATTTTGTCCTGTAAATTTATGTTTCAATCATCCGATAAACAAATAAAATTACTTCTTATTCATTGACTCTTTTATGGAATACCTCTGGTGTATGGATTAGTTATAACAAGTTTAGTATAAGGATAAGGAACTTGAACATAGAATAAGCTACTCTAGAGGTATTTTCGCCCAATACCGCCAATTGCTACAAAACCAACACATTAACCTTCAAACTTGAGTCATGTTTTTAAAAAGCCTCGTCAAATCGAGAGATTGACCGATTTGTTTTCTACGGTTTATCAAACCTTTTCAGTTTATTTAAAGCCAGAAACAATTTTTAGAATGGAAGAATTTTTTTAGATAATAATGATTTAGTGATACAAGTCTTACTAATTAACCCATAGCTGGGGGGGAGAAGAGGGGGATTCATGATTTTCCCAAGGTTACTTCCACGTAAGTGAATATAACGAAGACAACTGGAATTGAAAACTCAGTCCTCCGATTAACAATCCCGACCCATTATACGTTACACCACCTGCACATCCAAGCTTACAGCACATGGTATTCTCAAGCGGTCACCCATCTAGGTACTGACCAGGCTCGACGTTGCTTAACTTTGGTGATTGTACAGGAACCGGTGTTTCAACTTGATGTGGCTTTAAGCTCGTTAGATCGAGACTTTCATATGCGTTCAGAAATATCTAATTTGTTAGCTATATACAACCGCCTTCTAAGATCAATGGTTAAAAATTGAGCGAATAAAACCTATGGGATTTGATGAAGACCACAATTCTTTGAACCTTGTGGACTGGTGCAACAAGATCATCAACAAAGAACTGTGACAAATAACAAAAACGAAATTACTTGATGACTTTCAACAGTAGAAACAACCAAATTATATGGTTTATCAATACTTTTCAGGTTTTTAAAGCCAGAAAATATTTTTAGATTGGAAGAATATAATGTAATTCGAAGAGAAAATAATGACATAATCAAGATGTTGACATTCCACACTACTTCAAAAAAAGGTTAGGAAGGAAACTCCTATCAATACTGAGAAAGAGTGATAACAGCTACTGGACTTGAGAAACCTATTTTCCTGAAAAATTTTTTGAAGAAAAAGATTTTTGAAATTTCAGCCGACAGTAGTACTGGCTTCCTGGTCAATGAATTCCGAATGTTTCCTTATCAGTTTGGTTTGGTTTAGTTTCTTTTACGGTATATCAACCCTTTGGGTCATTTAATACCGAAATGTCCTTGTATTTAAACAGCCAAAATAATTTATTTTCAATAGTCAGAGTTTTGTTAAAGCGGTGTTATATACAATTATATTTTTTTTAATCCGTTTAATTTCTTTCAGAAACTGGAATATGTAAAGTGAATGAGTATTTTGAAAAATTTCTTTTAAAGCTGTTGCAGATTGTCAGTATGTGTTTTATGACGAATTGTTCTTGGCATGCCACACATAACGGAGGATCTTTCTTTTTTAGGATATACGAAATGTTTACGGTAGAATTTCCAATATAGAGCCTGGACATAATTACTTCTCTTCTAGTTTCGGGTTACTGATGCCATACTCCTGTAGTTGGTTTAATTTTGTACAGTTTATTGTTTTGGCAGGAGTACCATAGATTCTGCTACTCATTCGTAATATATTTATTGATTGTTGATTTCACATCTGTATATGGAATATGGAGTCATGGGTAGCGGTTCTGATTGAGGAATCGGAGAGCCGAGTTCGAATACCAGTCGAATCCATTACATTCACTCAAGTGCTAATACCCTTGGGAAAGGTGTGAATCCTCTTCTTCTCCCTCCAGCTATGGATAAATAGCAGGACAGACCGGGTTCTATAGCCTTGGATGGCAACTGGTCTACCGCAGAAAGAAATGGCAACGTGCTGCAGAAGTCTATGAAAGAAATCACCGTCAATACTGGAAAAAAGCGATTACAGCTACCGGACATGAGAAACCTATTCTTCGGAAAAATATTTTAAGAGAAAGATTTAAAAAATTTCAGTGTACAGTTGCAGTAGGTGCTCGGTCAATGAATGGTGAATGTTTCTTTATAAGGAAATGGTTAATATTCCCATTACCATTGCATAAAAGTTGGTTCTTATGAAGAAGAGATTGTCAGCATTAATTGCTGGGATTTTCATGTTATCTCTCAGGAGGTCGGGTGGGTGGTTTCTGTTTAGCGGCATATCAACACCTCTATGGGTTATTCAATGCCGAAATCTACACATGTACACATTTTTTTATTTTGGAGATAATAATGATTTTGGTGATAAAAGCCTTGCTAAATAACCCATAGCAGGAGGAGAAAATGTGGATTCATACCTTTTCCAAAGAATGTGGATTGGTTGGCTGTTTCATATCAACTTCTATGGGTTAATTAATGCCATAATCTGAATATTGCATATGCAATTTTATTTTATTTGGTTTTTGGGGATAATAGTTCTAGTGATACAATTCCTATTAATTAACCCATAGCTGGGGGAAAGAATATAACGAACCCAACAGTAATTGGAACTCGGCTCTCCGGTTAACAATTCCGAGCCATTATCTATTACATCACCCTCACATCCAAACTTACAGCACCTGATATTCTCAAGCGTTTACCCATCTAGGTATTGGCCAGATTCGACGTTGTTTAACTTCGGTGATCATACGGGAACCGGTGTTTCAACATGATGCGGCCGTAAGCCTAATTAAGAAGGGTTTATTTTACGATCATCGCCTCTTCTCCAAACAACATAAAACAATACTGGGTTAGAAGGCACTATAATCAAAGAATATTTTGTCAAATACTGACGTAACAGTAAGTCGGCCTTTAAGACATCTTGAAATTGAATAGCTTGCAGCGTTCATTCATGTTTTTTTTTCTAATAGCATCTTTGCGATGTGAACGCGGGTGACCTTGGCTAGAAGTCGAAACTTTATTCAACCTTGAATCTTCTAATGTTCTTTCCTTTGATTAAAATCTAAACCATTGGTTCCCATGCCAATGGACGGTCGCGTCTCATCTCAGAATCGCAAAGATGCTTCTGGGGTTATGGGGTAGGTTTAGAGAAAATAATTATAAAAGAAAATTTTAAAGTGATAAAAATTCAAACTAGTGCAATTTTGGAATATGAATCAGCATTGAAACTCTGATACAGAAAAATTGTAAATCATAAAGCCTCAATAAATATAGCAAAATTAGTCAATTCTAGTTTTTTTCTTAATTTGTACGTTGAGACAGCTGGAGCCTGGTACAATCGCAGTATCGTTCCTTACTCACTCCTGGCGTTACTCGTTTGCATGACTGACATCTTATTATAATAAGATGTCAGACTCACGTGATGCTTTTACATAATGTTAGGCCTTTTATTTTTCTTTCATCAGCAGAAGAATGAGATATTTATTAATTCTTAAAGTAAAATTTATTTAATAAAACTAATTTTAAGAAAAAACACGGAAATTCTATATCAGCTTTAAGAATCACCAGCGTTCAGAGTTGCGGCCAAAAACAAATTCGTGAGATAAAGACCGTTTCTTTTATATTTTACACTGTTATTCACCCAATATAAGGCCCAAGAGCTACACAAGATAGAGGATTACTGAATGAGGTTGTTATATGTAGTATCGATAACGGGTAAGAGGTTAAGATTGTAGTGGGAAAGCAGATGTCTCAGATGTTTGTTCCACAAAGCAGCTAGACGAATAAAACTTCTTCCTTACTAATGGAATACGAAATAAATGAGGATGACTCCGCTCTTTGTGCGTGGCATGCGGGTCTTAGCTGGTTGAACTAAAGAATGTAGCTCGTCTGAACCTTTTTCCATGAGAATAGTGATCTACTCAGATTGTAAAATACACACTGGATAGCAACTCAACTCAAGAAAACCTTACGTCCATTATTCCATCTTTTAAATATGGACATTGAATTACCAAAGGAATACAATAAAGGGATAAAAGTTTTCTCTATCAGAATCTGAAATATCTTCAGCTCAACGGGAATAAAACTTAACGCCGTCAGTATTATTTGGCGTTTGGCCAGACACATTTCAAAACTCTTTAGCTGGGGAAAAAGAAATTAGAGATTAGCAGAAGTTATATTCCTAACACTTTAAATTGTTCTAAACTGCCAACCAAAATCTCAATTGACTAAACGGACTTTAAAATACGCTCTCATCTCTCTTATCAGCTTTAATAACTGATTTCGTTTGCTTGCAATGGGAAGCTACTAAGAACATCGTGTAGCCTTGCTCTGGGAATGACCTATTGCTAAACTGTTATGTCTTTTCGGTCGTTCATACGAACGCAATTCCATAGATGATTGGCGACCTTAAATAACCTTGCTCATCTAATGATCTTGATATGGACATTGAATTGAAATGGAAATTGGAGGCACTGTTGCTCGGAAAATTGGAATAGGCATTAGTTTATAGCTGCTGACCTACAATATTGACATGAATTAAAGTAATTTCAGAAATTAGGAATTATTATTATTATTATTTTATGCTTTTCCATTCAGTCGACGACTACAAGGACTTATTATCGGTGAGCACAATTTTAATATGAGATATGCAGATGACATCGAGTTGGTGCCAGACATAAGAAAGAAACTAGAGGACGAAAACAAATGTATGGCTGTTAACAAGAGAAATGACCTAAGAGGCGAGTTATGACAAAACCAAATAATTTACACTATTTACGTTGTTCGGGCTGTTGTTCTCATCTTTATTGGTACATTCGCAACGTTTCGGCTGCTGTACGCTGTTCGTCTTCAGGTGATATTTGTTTTGATTTCGAACCAAATCCAAAAGTGGTCAGATGACGCTGGTGTAAGAAACGCCAACGTACAGATTGAATATTCTGGGTTCGGTTCTAAATTCAAACAAATCTCACCTAAAGAAGGTCGGAGCGTATAATAGCCGAAACGTCGTGAATATGGCAATAAAGATGAGGACAACAATGTAAATAATGTTAATATTTCTTGCGATATAGATATAAAGAGGATTAAATTTCAAATTATGGGATTTATTTTGTTTTATTCCTTAAACAGAAATTTGTAAATTGAACAATTTGAGATTGAAAAGACAATAAAACAAAGCATTCTTGTTTTCTTTTTAATAAAAAAAATTCTGCAAGATTTTACCCACTTCTAGAATATTGTTTGCTTTTATGTTTTATTAAAAAATATATATAACGCTTTACATCAAATAACAGGTTTAAAACTTCATCAAGTTAAAACGGCGGTCCCCATACGATCACCGAAGTTAAGCAACATCGAACCGGGTCAGTACCTAGATGGGTGACTTCTTGGGAATGCCAGATGCTCTAAGCTTGGAAGTGTAGACGGTGTAATGAATAATGAGTCGGAATTGTTAATCGGAGAGCCGAGTTCCAATTCCCATTGGGTTCGTTATATTCACTTACACGCAAATACCCTAATGAAAGGTATACATTTACATCTTCTCCCCCGAACTATGGGTTAATTAATAGAACTAAAACCATTATTATCTCCAAAAACCAAATAAAATAAAATTGCATAAGAAAGAATTGGATTTCCGTATTAAATAACCCATAGAGGTGTTGATATACCACTAAATTAAAACTACGCACCAAACCAAACAACGGTTGTCTTAATTCCTGGCCTTTCTTCCAAGGCACAACAAACAGATTGAGTGTTGAAACGTAATAAATTTTAAGTAAAAAAAATAAAATAGTACGCAAAACGTTATCTGTAATCCGTAATTTTACTTCTAACACAAATTTAATAATCATACGGACTAGCAAAAACACAAGACTAAATCTTTCATACACAACAGCATTGCTTATTCAACTCCAAATTACTATCGGTGCTTAGGTGTCTGGCTTTGGGGTTTGCTCCAAATGTAGATTCCACATTCTCGGGAAGATATGAAATATTCTTCTTCCTTCTCAGGTGGGTGTTTATATATCTACCAGTCACCCGATTTGTCTTACGTGTGCACATCTTAGGCGCAACTGGATTGACCACTTGTTCACACTTCGTGGGTAGCCTCTGACATCTACTGAAGGCTCAAATCTGCAGCTGGTGGCCAGGTGGTTATCTTTCAGACGAACCCATTCATACACCTGACATCCTCCAGTCTCTGAGCGCAAAATCTTTTTTGGCATAATCTGACATGTGAGTCACATACATAAATATTAACAAATCCTATCCTTTAAACCAAAGACGATGTTAGTAGTTGCATATGAATACTCAAATCATTTTGACATGCGATGTTTTTGACAGCGAAATTATTGAACGAAAAATAATCAGTCGTAATGGCTTTTTTAACGTTTTTCAAACTACAATTACAATACCTGAGAGAAATAGAATCTTACACGTCATAAATTAGAAAGGTCAAGTGTTGAGGAAGAAAAACGTATTAGGCTGTTGAAGACGCAATCAGCAGGAACGAAAAAGAACGTAATCCAAAATGGCGGCGTTTTATCATGAGAGAAAAAAAGATCTTTAAAAAAATACATTCGTCCTGTATTCTATCAAGCAAACCAAACTTTCCCGTCTTTTGCGATTTCCTTATTTTTTTACCTTGGAAATATTTCAAGTAATTACTGCTAACAGAATTTAAACGAAGTGACTCCAATTTTTTTTTCTCTGACTGCAAATAAATCAGTTTAGGAATGACAACAAATGACGTTCTTTACGATTTGATAATACGTTAATCTGCTTCGACACTGAATGCCAATATTTTTCTAAATCTGAACTAACAATGACGCGTTAGTAGTTTTCTTTTTGTATTTTTTTTTACGTCTCTTCATATTGAACTACGAATTTCAGTAAATATTTTTAGACGACTACAAAAATGCCATCCACCATTATGCTGTATCTCCATGTCAATACATCGGATTTATTTAGCTCTTTATTCTAAAAATTATTCTAACGCAAATCTTCGAATTGTCTTTCATCGCAAATTATTCTCGGCCTTTTTTTTTTTTTTTTCAAATACAGTAGGTCCCTGGGTTACGGAGTCCCGGCATAAAATGATTCCTGGTTACGACACAATCTCCATTAATCTTAATGGCTCCCAAGCGTAGTCGAAACTCTTCTGATGAAGATGTTTCAAAGAAAAGGAAAATCATCGCCACAAAAGTGAAACTAGACTCCTGGCAAAATCCAAAGAAGGATCTGTAATGTAGTCGATCCTGACCTGGCATCTCGACTTCAGTCACTTTCTCACCGACGTGACGTGGTCTCCCTCTGTCTTTTCTACAAATATTTTCACGGCAAGTGCTCTGACACGCTTTTTCTCCTAGTGCCCCGATTGCATGAATGTAAGCTTGCTACTAGATTGGTTTCTAAATCCCACCCTTTTACTGTTGAAATATCTAAACACAACCGCCACTTCTAATCCAAAAGTTTCTTTTCTCGTGCTTCCCGACAGCAGAACTCCCTTCCTCTTACTTGCTTCCCTGATAACTACAATCTTCAAAAATGTAAATGAAACGTCATTCGCCATCTTCTGTCTTCTTGAATCTCATTCATCTTTTGTCCTTTTTCTCAATACTCTCTATAATCAATCTTCACTTTCACTCTCCCTAACATCCTGCCTATAAGATTTGGTTTCTTTTGTTTTACGGCATATCACCCTCAATGGGTAATTCAATGCCGACAAGATGTTTACAATAGATTTTCATGAATAGAATCTATATTATTTGTAAAGAAACAGTCTGTAGATCCGATTTCATTGATATACTTTTATAAAGAGGGTTGTTGTCAAGAGTTTACTTTCATTAATATATTCTTTTCAGATACACGGTTTGTAGAGAAATTGAGTTTGACATTCACATTTGGTTTATAATATTAGGTAGAGTCCTAATGTTTTGAGAAATGATATTATATCATCCATTTTTACTTTCTCGAACATCTCATGTATATTATTTATATTATAATATTTTTTGCCTTGAGAGAGCAAGATCTGAGCACTCGGTTAATATATGTTTAATAGTAGATGCCATTTTACATGCTTGGCATATACTGGTTGATCTTGTGGATTATTCTCGTATGGCCAATGCGTACGCAGGCCAGTCCCACTTCTTTCTTTCCATTCTTCTATTTGGAACTCAATTGCGAAGAGTTTATTGTGGGTTATCATCCCACTACCGTTGCCATTCCTTTTGAATATATTTCTTAATAACCTCCTTAAAGTCTGTGGATGGAATTTTAGTTCTTGTATCCACATTCACATCTAAAGTCGACTTGACTGCTAGGTATTTTTCATTATTACCTTTAACTCTGAACTGGTTAGGGATCCAACATAGTTTGATGTCTTTATGCTTAATAATAATAATTCTCATTTTGCATAATATTTTCATAATAAGTGGGTTGTTGGATTTTTTCCTTCAAAGATAATAGGAAGGATAGTAGACCCGAAAAAAATAGATTTTTTTTTTTTTTGCTCTCTGAGAAAATGTTGGGAGCTACCTCGAATTACATGAGGCTCTGTAGTGAAAGTAGAGCTTCCCTTTGGGAAGCGGCTTTTTTTTTCTTCTTTTTTTTTTTTTGGTAATATTTTAGCTCAGTGTTACACACCATATCTTGTACTTATCTTTTGACCCGTCTGTATAGATAGGTATATACCCATCTATACAGGGAACTATATAGGGACAAGGTTAGGGAAGTTTGCCAATATGTCCTGAAACTTATCTTAGAATTTGAGTGTGTGCGTTTTTTGTTTGGGAAGATTATGTAATTCTATCAGAACTTCGGGTTGCTTTATAGCCCATGGTGTAATACTGGCTGCAGTCATTTCTTGCATATTTGAGAGTGGAGGGCTTAAATCTTCAGCAATGGATTTCATCCTAAGTCTGTAGGTTTGTACAGCATTATTTTTTGTCGGAATAGATCGCAGTAATTCGGTTCAAAGGTAAGGCTGTAAGCTGCTGGGTTAGTAAGGCATGATTTTATTTAACATAGTATTGTTGAGCCAGCTTAGTACGACGTAAATGTGAAGGTGTTTCATTAGCTTCTGTGTATAATCTCTCTACTGGGGATGATCTAAAATCCCCGAATACTTGCATTGAGAATGTTTTGGTACGATTTTCTAGTCGCTTTACATATGAAACTAGCGTAATCAAGTTTTGAGCGAAGTAGTGATCTGTATAATTTGATTAATGTTAGTCGATCTGCTTCCCATTCAGTATGGGCTACTACACACAGGAGTTGTATGGCTTTGCTACATTTTGTTTTCAAATATGTTACATATTTTTTTAATATTAATTAATTTTTAATTTAATTAAAATTTAATTTTAATTTTAATAATTTTAATTAATTATTTTTTTTAGCAAAGATAATGCAGAGAAACTTGTGTTGTTCCACTACTGGGATCTCTGCTCCGTCTAATTTTAAACATGGATCATTATATAATTGTAAAACGTAAACTCATTTTCAGTGGCCCATTTGTGTATTTTATTGAGACATTGTTGGAATTGTCTTTCAGTATTATTCGTATGTTGAAATCTGTACATAATTAAAAAAATTATCAACATATAGAGAACATCTCACTTCTGGGGTTAGGGTTTTAAAACTATGGATTTAATTTTTACGCAAAAAATAAAACGTCACCGAAAGAATGCTTTTTGTGGAACCTCTTTTCATGATCTTACAATTCCGATACGGACTTGAAACCTCCGGTCTTTCAGGAAATTCCCAATGAATTAAATCAGCCTTCCTTTTAGGCCCATTTCATGCGGGTCTTTCAAGATGCCAAATTTCCATTTTTTCTAAGTCAAAAAAACGTCCGTGAGATTTTCTTTCTTAATAAAGGCTTCCCTTACAAAAGTTTCGAGGCGTACTAAGGGCTCTGTGGTATATCTTTTTCTTCTTCTTTTTTTTCCCTAAAAACACATTGGTAGTCACTGATTAGGCCGTTAGGTTCCCTGTACCACATCAAACTGTTGTTGACCATTCTCTCTATAGGTTTACATCGGCAACTCGTTCGTACTATTGGCTTTCAGAATCAGGGTCATCCTTTCCAGGTTTTGGAATAGGGATTATGAATGATAGTCTCCACATATCTGGGAAGTTGCCACTTGTCTACATGTCATTATACAATTTTACTAACATTTGTAATGATTTGTTGGGCAACGGTTTTATGAATTGATAGCGGGTATCATCTGGTCCCACAGTTGTATTGTGGGCTTTCTTTAAAGATTCATTTAGTTCCTTTATAGTGAATGGTAGGTTATTATTAGGTTATTGATTTAATGATTAATTTTTGTTTTCCTGGTTTTTGTTTGAGCTTAGAAATTGTTCGCTGCCATTCTTGGCAGATGAGTCTGGGAGATTATTT